AGACACACGATAGGACTAATATGATGCAGCAACGTATACAGCGACGTTGCTATTATACAAAGGCTAAAGGTCATTGTCCCGAATTCCTAGGCGCACGTTTTCTCTCTCTCTCTCTTTCTCTCTCGGCTTGCCATTGACCCTTTTTAGCTCTCGTCACGCACACTACACACGGCACTGCTGCGTATGGTGTACATTGTATAAAGCTCACATACACACACACGCACAAGAGCGGCGGAGCAACAGGTTGCCGTTGCTGCTGCTCACGTTGGGTAGGCGGACGCGCGGACACGCGCTCAGCCTTTGAAATTCATATATACTATATACTGCGATGGTTATATATAAGTCGCGCGCAGGACCCCTCGTCCTTTCTGCTGTTGTCGGAGAGCTCTTCCGAGAATTTTCGGCATTGAATGAATTATGGGTGATTTAGATCGTTTTATGTACGCGCGTGAATGCTTACGTGTGTGTGTGTGTGTATCTTTGCGTCGAAGAACGAAGCTCTTCATATAATACGAGCAGTCGATCCTGTAAAAGATATATGGGTGTTTTGCACTGGCAAAGTGGCGCTCACAAAGGATGTTCCGATTAAATGATTTAAATTAGGTCATTCGATTGTGTTTCTTTTTTCTTCTTCTCTTTTTTTGAGCCTTTGATGTTGCGGAGTGATCGATGAACACGTTACGAACGTTTTCAATAATACTCTTCGTACGATCTGCCAGGTTTTAGAAACTAATGGAAAAATAAATACCGATTTGTGAATAACTATATCAATGGTAGTAAAAATAGTATATTTTGCACCGAGGGAGTGAAAAACTGGAAAGTCTCAGAGCACGTGTAATTTATCGTCCGAGGCGAAGCCGAGATTCTGATTCCGTACTCAAATTTGAGCATTTTTATTGAAAATAAATTGTTTCAATTATGATTTAGATTTTGCTGCAATCACCAAAAAATGTATAAAAATTCAGTCATAATTAATGCCAATCTCTTCAGCTAGATGGTGAGTATCTTTTTGCTGTAAATCTGCTATTGTCAAAGTGAAAATAAATGTATAAGTACTTATTAGTGTAATTCTTATGTATGAAATTGAATTCTTCGTGCAAGATTCATGCAAGTTCAATCATAATTGAAATCAACTTCTGCCTCTAGATGGCGAGCAACTTCATCGGTAAATCTGCAAGTGGCAAAGTAATCATATTTGTATAAGTAATTAAGCCTTGTTAAATTTTTATAATTTTGGGTTGAGAATCATGATTAGGGGCGACAGGATACTTACAAGACACAATACATATGCGCCGATGTTTCGATCTATGCATTAATCGTTCTTGATATCACTGCTCTGAACCACGAATGCACGGGGTAGACTCGGGTTGAAAAAAAAAAAAACAAATTCACCGACTGGTACATCGTAGCTTACAGATCGCGCGTATTACTGCAAAGAACACCCCCTTTTTTTCGTACACATTAAATACTCTCCTGCGCGCGGCGCGTGTCGTGTATATGTATGTGTGTGCGTGTGTGTACAATACGAGTATAAGCGCGGTCTAACCTCGCATTAACCACGTAAAAAGAGAGAGAGAGAGACAGAGCAATTACACCTGTAGCTCGGCAGTGTATTACACTGAATGTGTGTCCGCGAGAAGGGCCTCCGACGCGATGTGTGTGTGCGAGTGTGTACATACGAAACGGAGCGGATCCCAATGCGCGCATGTTATTACGTTTTTTTTTTTTTATTTAAAATTTAAAAAAGAAAACATACAGAGCTAAGTATAGGTGCGTGCGCGTCGATAGATGCTACATAGACACGATGCACGCGAGCGCACGAGTGGGCGATACGTTCGCGTGTCCGACTCGTCCCGCGCGACGCGCCCGCATATCGTGCGCGTGCGTGTGCGACTACCCTTTTGTGCATAATATAATGATGGATTATAATTTACAGCTATGCGCAATTGTGTGCCTCGCGTATACGTTTATGGGCATTAAGGCGCGCGCGCACGAATCATCAACCTATATTTTGAATTCGCAGCCCAATATGTTGGCCTCTCGTTTTTTTCTTTTCAATGGATCACCAACCCCTTGCGCGACGATAGCCCGCAAAGAAATGTATAAAGAATATCCTAACGGTGACACACAGAGTTAACGGCTTTTTTCCCTTTCTTTTTCTTGCGGACATATGCACACCAATCGATACGGGTCGTAAGTTACAATATTGAAATCGATCTCGATGTTTAAAGCTGTATGGACAGGACGACGATAAAAAAAAAGCAGCTGAATGACTGTCCATATCAGCGCGAGATAAGGCTAGTTATTCGTGTCGCGCGCGCGCGCGCGCGAAAGGCAGAAAAAAATGTCGCCGCGCGACTCATTAAATGATAAAACGCAGAATGCAGCGTACGCGAACGCGCGTGTGTGCAGTGAAATTCTTCGTCCTCGCGCGAGTTTGTAAATTATCGAATAACGAATGTCTCTCTCTCTCTCTCTCTCTCTCTCTATCCCTGCGCGCACAGTCAGCGCAATTCGCGCAATAAATCATCTCGCGCGGCATAAATTCACCTCAACTTTTTTTTTTTTTTGGTCCATAATATCGAGCAAGCTGCTGCCCCAGCTATACATAGAACGTGCGTTATTACGTATCGGTTGCGGAGTCGAGAGAGGCAGACACAACAACATGCAAAGATGCAATCTAGTATGTATCGAGCGCTTACTCGCCGGTATTTATCTCGCCGAGCTCGAGCCAGAGCTCCGTTTACGTACACACACACACACACACACACAGAGGCTGCTATACGTATAGTATAGTTGGAGCGCAAAAGCGCGACGAAACGCGCGGTAAACGCACGAAAATTAACGTGCTATGCTGCACTCACCCGCGGTCGATTTTTTTTTTCAGCTCCCGTGCCTTCTGGCATCCGTTTGAGCTACTGCTACAGGTGTTTTGCGAAATTGAATTTAATTGAAGCTCGCGGAGAAGTAGTAAGCTATATCCTTCGATCATTATGCTTGTACCCGGGCTTTCTATATATACGATCCGCGCGCCGTATATTAACCGCGCCGAGTGGTACGCGAGCTTCGATACATCGCGTTGGTTTTTAAAAGCGTACAAACAAGCTGTTGATCGTTGCAACGCCGCTAGGTAAATAATAATTACGCGCTCGACGCGTGGCCTATGGGCTAGCATGATATCGTGCTCGATGACCCGCCCCCCTCGTGCACCCGCGATCGACGTCATATTTGCGGCTTGAATTACACGCGTTGTGTACTTTACTTTTTTTTCTTCGTAAACTATTGACTTTGCGTTACGGTAGCAATTGACGCTACGCTTTTATGGGTGACAAGTGAGCTTTATGCTTGGAGGCGATTGATTTTGTATTTTTCAGCCAAGTTCGTCACCGTGGCTCATCGGTGAGTTAAAATGATTTGCAATAGTTACTGTTAACGGTTGCTCGTGCAAAAAAGTGATGTACATCAGAGGCGAAATAATTTTACGATCTACAAATTATTACCTTGTGTAATCTATTCATCAATTTTCAAGGCTCGGCTGAAAAGTTTTTAGCGCAGCATCCACACGCTTACTTGAGTAAACACTCGTTCCATGTGAAATCTTTTCTTGTGATCCTTATGATTTTTCAAGTCAAGTATATTCAATTAAAAGCTTCCTTGCACGAAAAGTAATTAGAGTAACTAGTTAATAGGTCTATTAATAAAGTATCAGTCAAAAATACTTCAACTACATGAAAAGTTAATCAATCGCTTGTTTTATCTCGATGGAAAATCTCGATGGAAGTTCTTCGACTCATACGATATAGCCTCTCCCTCCCTCTTCTTCTTTTTTTTCTCTCCCTCTTCCTAGTAGGAGATGAGTTTTGAAAGGATTTAGTTTACGAGAGTCGACTTTTAATCGAGCTGCGGTTGACGCATACAGAATAAAGAATCAGCTTTTAATGCATCTACATTAGCCGTTGATTACGCATCTGATACGACTAGATTTTTCAAAAATTACGGCAATTAATATACGACCGATGCGCGAGGTTCAAGGCAAATTTATAATGTGCGTCAAAATATGTAATAGTTCACTCAAATGATATATTGAATAATTATGCTATTTTGAATCAAGATCGAATGTTGCGAGCTGTTATTTTTAACTCGATTTCATTAGCGACTCAATTAATTATTGTAGTTCAATGTCAGTAACAATAAAAAGTAAACGAATTTTCAAATCGAAAATAAACAATTCTCAATACAGGGCTAAGAATAAAAATTGTACATTTTTTTCATTGTATTATTGTTACTCGTATAGAAAAAAATTATTCATTTAAAACAACACTTTGGAAATACTGATAAAACACATTTACAGAATAGGGTAGTCACACCAATCAATGACCGGGTACCAGTGAATGACCATTTTGGAATAATCATATGAAAAACAATTAAAAATACATTTGTATGGACGTTATTCAATTCTTTAGTGAATGATGCATCTTGTTTTCTATGTTCGAACATAATTTAACAAAGAAAAACAATAATTATTGCTCATCCAAAAGTGGTCATTTACTGGTCGAAAGCGGTCAATCACTGGTATAAGTACCCTATAATCAAGCGCGATCAAAAAACTTATAGGCTCAATTTAAAGAAAATGTTTACAGATGTATCGTGGCTTCAAACGTACAGATATTCTTATTTGGAATTAAAAATTGTTCGTGATAGTCGTGATCCAAAACTTCGCTTTGGCCAACCAGGTAAAACTTTATATTTTTTTTTTTTTTGTACATGAATTCAATGCTATCACTAATGCAGTTGACTGCGTGAATAAAACATAAAGAAAAATCATTCATTTTTTGTTCCACTACACAAACTTACATTAATAAAAGTATTTACGTCAATAACATAAAATTGAAATGTGTTTATTTGAACACACAGATCACGACTAAAAATTTCTAGCATTGCTAATTCCAAGTATAAAATCACCTCCTCCATTTCGTCTTGAATATAGTTTTTTTCCCGATTCGAACGTTGAAACAAAAATGAAGCTATCTTTGTTTCTTCTCTCAATACTGTTGGTATATAATTGCTCGGCATATGCGATTGCTGATCCTGAGGCAGAAGCAGATCCTGATCCAGACGCAGCGCCAGAAGCAAATGCCGCGGCTGACGCTGTAGCGGATCCCGATGCCGAAGGTTAGTCTGAAAACAAAACATTGGCCTCCTTATTCATTTGTCAACAACTTGAATATTACATTTTTTCAGCATCAGCGTTAGCGAAAAAAAAGGGTAGTACTACACGCACGGTTTCAGGGGGGAAAAAGCCGGTCAAGCCTCAGTCCGGGAACGGCATTAAGAAACCAAATCCTAATTCAGGCCCCGTTAAGCGTCCTCCTCCGACACGACACAGCCCACCTCGGCCGCATACTAAGCCGCCTACAAGGCCCACCCGTAAACCGACTACTACTCGCAAGCCACCTACAAGGCCCACCCGTAAATCTACTACTACTCGCGAGCCACCCACAAGGCCCACCCGTAAATCTACTACTACTCGCAAGCCGTCCACAAGCACCACCAGTAAACCTACCTCTAACTTCGGCGAACAATTTGTTGAAAGCTTACAACATGTGGCTAGTATAGCTAGCGATGTTAAAGATATTTATCAAACCGCTCATACATCTAGTGCAACATCTCAACAAAAGCCTGACGAAGATGAAGATGAAGACGAAGAAGACGATGACCAAGACGAAGACGAGGAAAAAAAAGAGAAAAATGAAGATTATTCGGGTAATTATTAATTATTAATAAAAAAATCGTATTCGTGCTTTTATCCATCTACTCTAATACTAACTCTGAAATCTTTATTTTCAGACTATCCCCAATAACTCAATGGTCTGTAAATCTTCAATATTCAAACTTCATTCAAATAAAATTCAAGTTCTATGAAAATTTGTTTTATTTGTATTCATGTTGTCGTTCTTCATTCAATTCCGATAAAATCCTAGTCCAACCTGCATCTGGCTAATGGTGCATTTTACTTTTAAGTAAAGTTCCAATGTTAACGTTGACTTATGACCTAATTCAACGAGATATATCACGCAATTATAATTCATATCTGCAAAAAAAAAGGAGGAGCGATCCCGAATGAAGTTGTTACGAGCCATATTTTAGCCTACGGCACTTGCGTGTGCCAATAAAAAAAAAAGCTCGAAATCGGATTGTACCGCAATGATGTTACAAAGAGAGCATCGTGTTAAATAAGCGTCAGAGCAAGGACAGCAGACGAGCTTTTACTACGTTGGCATCGCGATTGACAAAACGAATATTTTAACTCTTATTTGAATATAATCGTGGATGGTTTGCATCGTAAGTCAGAATTTTTGCATCAAAAACTGCAAATATTTAAAACAGCACTCGAATGGAAGCTTAAATACTTTGAAAACTTCATTCTAAACTTTGCTCTGGAATCTCCGAGCATAATATGCAGATGTACTCGTTTTTGAAGAAACGTAAAAAAAAAATTACGATCGATACACGTTAAATTGGATAATGTACCCGAAATAATAATTCGGGTGTTTTCCGCGGGCATCGCATGGGCGGTAGCTGCCGAGAGTAACGCGGGTATACGCATACTATGCATACCGAGCCGCGGCGAAAGCAAACGCGAGGTACGTACGTCGTGCGGCTCGATCGATCGACTACAACTTTGCCGCGGCAAAGTCGCGCTCGAAGGCAAACGAGGGCGTATCGCACGTACCACATTATATACATGAGCAGCGCTCGCAACATTCATCGATTATGATAACTATATTATAATTAACTTATTTTCAATTTTTACTTTTTTTGGGGGAAATATCTGCCAGAAATGTGTGTGTGTGTGTGCCAGATTATACGCAAAAATTGGTTCAATTACAACGGTATGTTGTTAACAATTATAGAAACACCCATCGAAGCTGTACCTGTACACGTCCTATACATATTCCAGAAGCGCAACAACGGCGGCGGCAGCAGCAGCGAGCAAATTACTTATAAATCGAAAAGCAGCGATACCGTTGCGCGGCGCATCTTTTAAATTCCTCCGCGCTTGCATTTATTTATACTTGCCTCGATTCCTCTCTTTCACTCTACAGCGCGGATTATGCTAAACACACACACACACACATAAGTGTGTCCGCGTGACGCAACCTATCGCGACGCGAGATTATTTAATTAGTGAATTCCGTACGCACACACACACACGCGTGCATCATTTATATGTATTATACGTGCTTGCGGTGCATCTGTATTATACGCAACACAAGCGCGTCGATGCGGGTGCTATATAATATAGGCTCGTCGAATCTGTTTACTTTATGTATTGGCCTTTTTACAAGTCGTTGTCGCGCGCTGAGCTTTTTTTTTTCCTCGTACTCGTGCGCCACTCGAGCGAGCTGATAAGCGGGGCACCTGTGGCTCGACTACTATATACGGCTCGATGCGATTGGCGCAATAGATAAGTGCGCGGCGCACACGAGTGCGATTGCGCAGTGCGAAAGACGACGCACCGAGGACTGCCTGCACACAGTGTCACGTGCTGCGCTGCGAGTGATGTTGCGTGCATTCGCATGCGGCGTAAACGAGATGATCGTATATCAAGCGCGCGAAGATGCGTCGATCGATTTTTCGTTATAAACGTGTAAACAATTTTCGCGCGAGATGATCGCGGAGAGAGATGCGACGAAAAAAAAATATTTGCCCGATTTACACATCGTCGCCGGCAAGAGAAATCTCATTCGACTTAAACGGTACATTTCGTGTGTGCGATGCATTTCTCTCGTAAAAATTAATCGAATGAAGCCGTACCACTACCACCACCACCACCACCAACCCCACCCCCACTACCACCGATGCAGCAACCACTGCTGCATATAAACATTTACATTTTCATTAAAATTTTTAGTCCGTATACGAAAAATTTGCAATGCTAATTCGCGCGCGCCTCGACAGTCGTGCCGCCGCTGCCGCTTCACCGCGCGGGCCATTAAATGATTTATGCGGTGTCCGCGTCCGAATTTTTAACGATATGTATACACGGCGCGCGGGCTGCACGATTTTCAATGCATATTAAAATTCAGGTGTGAATTTCCTCCTTCGTTTTCGCTTGCCTTTTTTCTCCTCTTTGAGGACTTTATGCATTCATTGATATTTATCACGTGTGTAATTTTTGATTTCGATCGCGACTATTTTTTCGCACTCGCGAGCTCATTAAATATATGTAGCTAACGATACATCGACAATCAACGAACGATAAGAGAAACGTATCTGTAATCGAGGGGAACGATTTTTCCAACCGATACATCATAACCCATCCATTTAATAATTTTTTTTTGTTCTCTCTCAACGTCTGCACACGCGGCATACGCCGTAGTACTGCCACTCGATTAAAGAGTCACGCTTTTATACTTATGTACGAGGCCAGAAATCAATCATAAAGCGGTGCACACATATACAAGCAGCGCAACGATTTACATATCGAAAAAATCAATCGCGCGCAATATTCGACTTTACTTATACATATATATGTTTCGCGCGCGGGGATGATGGCACGCACTCTCGGCTGCAACGAGAGAGAAGTTGAGTCATCAATTAAATGCACTTTGTCAGATGGCTATGTATCTTACGAAGCAGCCACGCGCTTATGTGTGTGTTTGCACGTGCTTTCACTTGAACCCTGAACTTTCGAACCTATACATAGACACATATGAACGTGCAGGACACTGCACGCAGGCACGCGCTGCTGCCTCGCGATACGTCGAGAGCTGTAAAAGATAAAATCAAGTTCGGAGCGAGAGGTTAATGTAATTTCTTTTGCGTAATGTAATGATCGCGTAGTAAGCTATATAGAGTCTCGTCGCGTTCGTCGCTCGTCGTTACGTTAATGGCACTTTAACTTATGATGCCGCGCTATAAATGCAATTAAACATTCCTGAAATAATAATCGTTATTAATTATTATAATATGTCTTTCTTTCGAATCTTTTATATTATGCACGTACGATGCTCGCGATATACCCTCTTCGCACCGAACGAAAGGGATATACTTACCACGATTTAACTTTTATTCTTCAATAATTAGGATTCGTATAAATATTATATTTTCGTTTCATATAGACAATAAATCACGAATTTATGCGATTTCGCGAAGCGATAGTTAAAATACGTGCCGCGCGCATACAGCTAAATAATTGGTTATTCTCTCCTGCGAGCAGCTGTTTTGTGCTTGCACAAATCGCCCACCCATTTATATTTCATACGAATATACCGTGATTAAATATTTTTCCGTGCAAAACGATCGTTACTTTATCATTCTGCGCATATAATATACCTTATCTGTATAAGAAATCGTTAATTTTACGCTCCTGTTACGAATTGCAACTTCGATATTCCGCAGTCGTACAGAAATCCTGACCGTACTTTAACGATTCGTATATTTGCATGTGAACAAACGAAGGAGGAAAAAATTCGATTCTGGAATTTTAGCAAAGTTTATCGTCGGTTTCTTTAAAAAAAGTACGTACATCGATCGCATCTTTTTTATATTTTCAAATAGTTTTTTTGTTGATTTTATAATTAGTGTTATTTCCTTAAAAAATTTCAATTTGTATTGATTTTTTGAACGTACCGAAAAAAGATGCTACAAAATTAAAGCTCCGACCATCGACTTTAAGTACACGACGCTTACTGTATATAGCCGTGACACCATGTGGGGTAAATTAGCCGCGTAAAAACCTCAACAAGTACCGATGTATAAATAATCATTCGCGCGCGGCGCGGCTGGTTAGCTTTAAATTCGTCCGCGTCGTAATAATACATTTAAGCGGTACATAATCTTGACACTCTTTGCGGCTCTCTCTATCTCTCTCTCTCTCTGCCTTGAACGACGTGCACTTGTTGTTTGTTGCACCCGATTTTCAGCTGCGCGCGCGCGCGGCAAAGCGCGAAAATTGCATATCGAGAGCTCGCACGCACATGCAGTATACAGTCCCTTTAATTCTTTTTTGCGAGCTATACACGCGGTGAAAGTGTATACGTTTGCCGGCCAGGGATGCTGCAGCAACCGAGAGCAGCGACGTTTTTAACGGTGCTCTTTTTTATTGTTATTTCTCGGCCAGGCCCTCCCGAAGTAGGATTTATGCCGATCGATTTTCAAAATTGTATATCACGCGCATCTTATATACGCGTTATCAATTTGAAGAGCCTGGCCATATACGCGGCGGCGAATTTGCGAGCTCGGCGCGCGAAAATATTATTGCCCGCGCGTCGTAATAAAAGCCTCCCATTTTTCGATAGCCATATTCCGATTTCGGAACTCGTTCTCCTTTTTTTTTTTTTTATTTCAAAAAATCTCGTTTGTCGCGCGCGCGCACGCAGCCTTTATAAAAATTATACGGCGTTTCGAGAGGCCCCACTTATTTTTCCTTGGCTTTTTTTTTTGATAAATTGAAACTCTAGTATGCATATGAGCTTTCTGGGAACACGATAACAAGCGATATTATAGAAACTACAATTTCAGCTACTTAGAAGTGTGATATTATACAGTACTGCGTGCGCTTAATGGAATAGCAAATGTAAACTATTAATTTGCTGACTGCATATGAAATTTTCAAGGATCCACAAGGCCTATATCAAAAGTGTCAATACGATGTAATTAGTACATACTAAATTCGGCTCGACAAGATTTACATACGCGCGTAACACGTTGAAAACTTATACATTGCATAATATATAAATGTATGGTCAAACAAGTTTATTTAAATAAAATAAAATCTCACGGCATAACGTTGAATTTATTCGTTAATTTATACAAAACGCTAACGATAAAATTTTTTTTATATCAATTAAGACTCGGCAATCACGAGCATCATTTCGGAGCGGCATTAAAGGGTCCCCAGCACGAACTCGCGCCCGAGGTTTTCTCAAACACTTTTATCTCGGCGCGTTATGACACAATTTCAGACAACTTTATAATAATTATTTTTTTTTCGTAGTTTCTTTTTGCATGCATACGCTCCCCGAAAAAATGTCATATTCTCACGCAATAAAAAGCACGCACCGCGAGAGCTGCGACTCCCGCTCGCTCCCGGGGCTTGATTACGCGCTCGAGCTGCGTACACACATATAACCCGGCGAGGAGCACGATCTCCGCGCGCGAAATAAAATGCAGCACGTTTTCTCGGAAACAGCACTTTCGTCGCTCAAAGTATTGTGTGTGTGTGTGTGCATAATCGTGCATGCGACCTCCAGTTACGTGCGCGAGCGAGTGTGTGTGTGCGTACGATAATGGCTAACGCGGTCGGCAATTGTTTAATTCACCCACGGGTACGGATTTTCGTTTGTCTGCCTTTAATTCGCAAAGATGTTGGCTGACTTGTTTACTCGAGCGAAATTGATGAGTAAATTATATTATGCATTTTTTTAAACGAAAACGTGCAAGTTTTGTTGATGCTTCTATCAAAGCGAAGTTATCGTGCTTCAAGTTTGCGGAGTTACGTGTACCTTGTTCGAGCGCTCGTTACTCACGACTTCATTGATTAAAACACGAACGTTCAACTTTTAAAAACTCACAGAAGTCAAGTCTGAGCTCCAACGTGCTGACCTTAATTTTCATGCCTGAAAGTGAAATTATTTACGAAAACTTCACTTTGAGATAATAATTAGGCTTTGATTAAATTTTAAATTTTGTGCAGTTAATCGTGAATGATTGACGATGACCTTTGAAAACTTCTTACATATAACCTTACCTAGATTCGATAACTAGCTATTTCGAAGGATATATTTTCTCAACCAATGCCTATGAAATTCATTATCTTTTCAATGTCATTTCATTTCATTGCAAAAATTATTCGCAAATTTTAAGTACTTTTAATCGATATTTGTACCTTGTTGACTTTTTTAATAATAGTTAATTTTAAAATAACTGTGAACTTGAAAAATTCATATAATCAAATACTTTTTTCGTGACCATAATAGTTTATAAGTTTCCGCTAGATGGCGTATAGCCAAATTTTAAGAAAACAAAAGAGAGATAGCAAAGTTTTAGCATTAAGGTCCTACGTAGTTGAAGACTATTAAGTTTAACTCCTAATCTTTCATCAATTAAACACTCTCGACGAATTTTCACTTTTCATGGCGTGCATATAATATGCATATTATTTATCGAACGCGCGCAAGTATAGCTAAGCTTATAAACGTGGCGCGCGCGACACCGCAGTACAGAGGTGAAAATATTACGTACGCACACACGCGGCTGAGGGACGCGCGTCGTCGTCGTCGTGTCCCTCTTTCACTCTTGAAAATTCGCATCTAAGATCAAGAGACGGCCGCCGCCGCCGACGCGTGATTATTGCGCGGGCAGGTGCACTCAGGCCCGCACGAAACGATCATCAGGCTCCTCGACCCACGCTCGTAACGTTTACGCATTTATACACGTATATCGAATATAATTACGCGTACACATATACGCGCGCACGATCTTTCTCTCGTCGGCCGAGAAATGCGGTTGTTTTCGCAAGATGAGGACTTTTTTTTCATCGACGCTGGTGACGGCGACGACGACGACGACGACTACGACGAGGCTTGTTAACATTTTCATCGAACATCGTACGCGCGCGCGCGCACACGTAAGCGTGCTTGATTATTACTTATGTATGTGTTAGTATAATGTGCGCAACGAGTCGAGTGGCACCGCCGAGTAGTAATTCTCGCAACGAGTTTTGTATTATGATTGTATAAACACAGGCGACGAGAGATAGCCTCTTGACGAATATCTTGGGTACTTGAATTATGGTAGCCGAGGTATTATATACGAGTGTTTACTTGGCCGCTCGAGAGAGAGATTTATTACAATTTTTATTCGATCGTTCTCGCAGTGACAAGTATTTGAAATATCGTTAAAAGACCCGAAGATGATTGAATAATAGATATTAACCATTAAATAACACGGAGATGAAGATGATGCTCGTTTGAGGAAGCAACTTGAGGTGGTTCGTGTATAGAAAGTGATACGTTTACGAACAATGGCACATATCGTAATAAGGTCACTCGGGCTGACGTCTGTTTGTCGTTCTTCTTTTTTGGGCGTTGAAAATGACTCGCGGGAACTCGAGGTAAGACGTTGGGATTCGGAAACGCACGAGCGCGATAGGATCACCGTCGTCCGACACGATTCCTCGGGTTGAATTCGGCGGCGGCCCACGCTCCCATCCGAAAGATCGCGGCACACGCAACAGGGCGTTTCTCTCTTTCTCTGCAGTCTCTCTGTCTCTCTCTCTCTCTCTATATATATATAATAAATTCGGCGGAATCGTAATTTCGCTCGCACCCGCTCAGAAGCGTTTATTATTATACGCTATATAAAGTGTACTTCGAAAAGTGCAGCGCCGAAAAAATGACACAGAATGCCGCGAAATCACGCGTGAGCGCACGCAGCTTGCGGCGGCGGCAGCGGTGCAAAAGGGCCTCTGTGCAGCGGTGCGGTGGCGGTGCGTTTGGCGAATTATTTTTACGGCTCATTAACAACTTAATTGTAGGAGCCTCCGTTGTTGTACGTAGGCATGCGCATGAGCGGGTACACATGTATTTCATTTGCGCTCGGCTTTAATTGCGGCGGTGGCTGACGAGCGATTATTATATAGGCGGCTCGCGACACAATCCTGCGCGTATGTAACGATTGCCGATCGGTGAAACGTTTGAACTTTCTGCGGGTGTATTTACGGGGGCAGCAATTGGCTTTTTTTCGCCACTTTCGGAACAGGTGGCACAATTACGAGTGAGCTGTGCACGATTTTGTATCGCGGAGCAAAAAGCCACGGCTGGCTTATTTTGATACAAAAACATTTTCACCATAATTTTTTTACCATTCTTTGAAGATCATTACTTTTCAAAATTCAATGACATCTTACGACTGTAAAGAAAAACGGCTCGCGTGGATTTCTCAAATCCCAGTAAAATTCATTTCTCTTTCTTTAAATCTCTGGGAATCAGCAAAACAGCTCGTTTTCACTCGTTGGAGTAAGACAAAAACCAAACGTCACAATTCAAATTCTACTTTAGGACTCATAACTATGCACAAAGTTGCATTGGCCCTTTGCTGGTGTCAACTTGATCGGATAAAGGTTCCAACATTATGACTGCACTTTTGCGTAGCAGTACACCATTTGCTAAATACTTTCTTCAACGCTTACTTCTTTTAGCCTTGACGAAAGCGCCTGGAACGTTGCCGGAAACTCGGACGCAACGAAGCATCCCGGGAATCCCCAACGCGTGCAAAAGCCATTGTAACTACTTATCGCGAGTAACGTAGCTTACATCAGTCGCATAAAGATTTGTTTATACAGGCAAGTATAAAAACATCGTCTCAAGCCCATTTTGAGTATAGTTCCCTTCGTGATTCAAACGTCAAAGCCAAGATGAAACTGTCTTTGTTTCTACTTTTAATATTGGTAGTGTATAGTTGCATGGCGTATGCAGATCCAGACGCATCTGCTGAAGCAGATCCTATTGCACGAGGTAAGTCTGACGATGAGTAAAATATGATATCGTTTTTACATTTGTCAAAATGTTGAAAATACCTTTTTTAAGGTGGAGGTTCTTCGGGTGGGCATTCTTCAGGAGGACATGCCTCCGGTGGGCATTCTTCAGGCGGCCATTCTTCTGGAGGACATCATTCTGGTGGGCATCATACTTTGGGCGGACATCATTCTTCCCACGTGCATCATTCTAGTGGGCATCATACTTCGGGCGGTCATCATTATTACCACGTGCATCATACTTTATACAACAGACGAGAATCATAATTTAAATGAGAATGAACCATGAAAATGGGTTTTGTAAAAAAATTATGCAAATATACGTTATTTAGTGGGTAAAAAATCAGGTTGCGATTTGACTTCAATGTTAAACTACTTATTTTTAAATCATTGAATTCTTAATGGCCAATCGAATCTTTATAAACCAAAGTATTTTTCAATTAGACCCTAAATTTAATGCAAATCTCTCTTATTGTTATTCTTATTGACGTTGTAAATTAGGTCAATTCAAATAAAATCTTTTGCCACCTGTATTTTTCACATAGTGTACTTTACTTTTCAATAAAGTTGTAATGGTGAATTTGACTTTGACCTAGTTACTTAAAACTTTATTTTTACTTTTGAAAATTCGATGATATATCAAGATTGCAATAAAAAATCTCGATTCCTCCAATCCTCGTTAAATTTTCTCTTCCTCTTAATAGTCGTATATTCACATCAAAATCTCATTTTTATTCGTTTAAAATAGAAAAGAATCATATGTTACACTACTGTACTTTCTCGAGGCTGATTAGTTGATAGCTTTCTTTGTCAATTCTACGTTCATTTCACGCTTGCAAAAGCTGTCGATACTACTTATCGCAAACTACGTAGCTTACGTCAATTGCGCAAAAGTATTTTTATTGGAACAGAAATCACGACCGAACATTTCTAACATCAGTAACTTCAAGTATGAAAGCATCGAATTGAGCTTGTCGTAAATATAGTTTTTTCACGATTGAACGTCAAAGCAAAAATGAAGCTCTCTTTGTTTCTTCTTTTAATATTGGTGGTTTATAATTGTTCGGCATATGCAATCGCCAATCCTGAAGCAGAACCAAATCCTGATCCAGACGCAGGACCAAAAGCAACTGCTGAAGCAGATGCCATCGCTAACCCTAATGCAGGAGGTAAGTCTGACGATGAGTAAAGTATCATCCTTTTTCAACTTTCAAAAAATTGACATATACCTTTTTATATATTTACCCCAGCGAAGAGATCAGGAAACAGGCGTCGCTCTTCAGGTCGTAAACCTCCATCCAGTCGTCATCCGTCAACTGGGCACCATTCTTCAGATGGGCATCATTCCTCGACTAGCCATCATACACCAGGTGGACATGATTCTAGTGGCGAACATCATCCCTCAGCAGAGCATCATACTCCAGGTGGGCATCATTCAACAAGCGAACATCAATCCGGACATAACAATCACCACTCTACCGATGACCACGACTCAAAATCATCCAGTTGGAGCGATAAATTCCTTCATGGCTTAGATTCATTATCGGATATAACTGGTAATGTTGCAGAAATAGCCCCGGAACTGTCTAGTATAGTTAAAGATATTACCGAAACTATCAACGGTACACCCAAAGAACAATCTAATGAAGACGATGTAAATTATAATGAAGATGAAGCTGAAGATGAAGATGAAGATGAAGATGAAGAAGGTATTGCAAATAGATTCGGTAGTCCCCCACGGGACGATGTATTGCATCATGGCCTCGGACATATGGCAGAACTAAGTGGTAAATGATGAAAACGACTCCGATGACGATGAGATAGAGGATAAAGGTGATTATTAATCAACTTTGAAAAAACCGTATTCGTGTTTGTATTTATCTACTATATTACTAATTGAGAAATCTTAATTTTCAGAATATTAAACACTCGATTGTTTATTAAATTTTTAACATTCAAACTAATCTTCCAATAAAACTGAATTCAAAGAAAGTTTCCATTTGTTTGTGTTCTTTTTTATCGTTAGCTAATTCCAATAAAATCCATTCTAACTACATCTAACAAATAGTGCATTTTATCATTCGATAAAGTTGTAAAAGTAACATAGACTTTGACCTAATGCCACAAGTACTTTACACCATTCAAGAGGTTGGAAAACAATTTAATTTATTATTGCCTTTGAAAATTTGATGATGGTGAATTGATCTAATTTTCGTAGATTCACAAAAATAACTAATTATTCGTTCGACGTAGAAAAATGCAAAAATTTAAAATCGGCTTTGAAGCGATCGTTAAAAGCTTTTACATTGAGTCACCTTGATTTCTCGCATGTAAAGGTAGGTGGTATTAAAATTATCGTAAACTATATAGCTTACGTGATTCGCAAAAAAATATTTTTATTTGAACGTAAATCACGACTAAAAATGTGTATTATGACACATTTTTAGTATAAAAATATCGCCTAAAATCCATCTTAAATACAGTTTTTTTCACGATTCGAACGGCGAAGCAAAAATGAAGCTGTCTTTGTTTTTTCTTTTAATATTGGTGGTATATAATTGTTCAGCATATCCAGTTGCCGATCCTGAAGCTGATCCAGATGCAGAACCAGACGCAACTGCTGAAACTGATGCTACAGTGGATCCTAATGCAGAACGTAAGTTTGACGATGAATAAATGATGCCACTTTTATTAATTTTTTAAAAAGTCACAACATACTTTTTTTAATTAAAAAAAAAACAGCTTTGAAAATCCCACGCCCAGAACCATTCAAGCCCACAATCAGAAAACCAAGTAAACCCAAGCCTACTACTGACCCACTCAGGACGCGAACAACTACACTTTCTTCCTCAAAGGAAAAATCTACCTCGAGACCTGTCTGGACCGACGAACTCATTCCAAATGCCAAGGAAATTATAAATTCATTAGATTTAAATGATTTGAAAGGAATATCTAATAAAAACGATGCAAGTGGAAATGAAGATCAATATAAAGAATCTACCTCGAGACCTATCTGGACCGACGAACTCATTCCAAATTCAGAAAATTTTTCAAAAGCAAAGCCGTCTAATGTAATTAGCGATTTCAAGGAAAATATAAATTCATTGGATTTAAGTGATTTAAAAGAAATATCTAATAAAAACGATGCAAGTAGAAATGAAGATGAATACGGAGGTCGAGATGAATATGTAGATGAAAATGGAGATGCAAATGAAGATAAAAATGAAGATGAAGATGAATATGAAGATGAATATGAAGATGAATATGAAGATGAATATGAAGATGAATATGAAGAAGAATATGAAGATGAAAATGAAACTGAAAATAAAGATGAAAATTTGAATTAAAATCTAAATGAATATGAAGAATATTGATGTGATTGGCCATAATCATTGCAACACAAACATTCATACATTTTTATTTAAATCTGCTCTATCTTGAATTGAATGAAATCTATGTTTTCAAATTATCAACTTATCAATGGCAAATGAAATTTTTAATATTTGACATTAATTTCTAATAAAAGTTCAATGAAAATCTTATTTAACTATGTTATTTTTGTCGTTATTCATTTCAATAAAATCCTTTCCACTCGCATCTCTCACATGGTTTACTTTTCAATAAAGCTGTAACGTTGTGAATAAATAAAAATCAAACGATTTCCACAAGGGTAACCCTCCAGAAAAATATTCAAACACAAATGGGGTTGAATTTAATCTGTCACTTTTTCTTGTTATTAATAAAAATACACTCTTTCGACGTTTCGTCAGCAATTTTCCGCTGACCTTTTCAAGAAAATTATAATGTATTAAGTATCCACTACGGGCAACAATAAGTCAACGTTGTCTTTTATCTCATGTACGTCACCATTCAATAACATAACTTCGAAGATTATATCAAAATCCGATGGTACCTTAACGATTTTTCAAATATTACTTAACATTTCTATTGCTCTCAATCATCGTGAATATAAAAAAAATCTCGTATTTACTCTTTCGAAAAAGACAAAAAATTTGAACGTACAATGCTCTTCCATACATATTTGTGAACTAGATTAAACTTCCAAAAAATACCTGTTTATGTGTACATGTGTCTTCACTTCTATACGTTTTCTTTTAACCCATGGGGTGATGTTTGACCCTTCCTCGAGCGGACTCATGAGATCTGTAAATTTTTTTAACGCCTCCGTTTGTTCTTTGCTATTAGACCAGGCGCTTGTAATTTGATAAGCGCGATGTAATTTGCATAGCCGACGATTTATTAGGTATCAAACAGCTCGAGCCCAAGGATCTCGTTATCGATGTCGTTCCGAAGAAAGGGGCTACGTACAGATCCTTGAGGTACGCCCACCGTGACGTCTTTGGGCCAACAAAAAAAGAATAAGCATATTTTTAGGATCAAGCTCGTTTCTAATGAATAGTCAGTTTTTTTAAACTGCGTAAATGCTTCACTCGTAAAAACTGTAGGTGCTGCTTATCGCAAGCCACATCGCTTACGTCTATTGCATAATAATGTTTTTTTATTTGTATACAATACACGACTAAAAATGCATAACGTGACCAATTTTAGGAATAAAAACATCGAGGAAAGTTCGTCTTGAGTACAGTACGTTCCACGATTCGAACGGCTAAGCCAAAATGAAGTTATCTTTGTTTTTTCTTTTTTTATTGGTGGTTTATTCTTGTTCGGCATATGCGATTGCCGATCCTGAAGCAGATGCTGAAGCAACTGCCGAAGCTGATGCTGTAGCGGATCCTGATGCAGAAGGTAATAAATAAAGTATATCATCCCGGTGATAAGTAATAGTATATTACTTCCCTAGGCCGCGAAAAACAGAAAAGTCTCAGGGTACGTGTAATTAGTGGCCGAAGCCGATAAACACGTGCTCTGGGGTTTTCTTTTTTCGCGGCATAGGCCTGTATACTATTTTTCATACACATTGGCCCGAAAATCGCTCTTCCCGCTTTGCGCAGCGGCAGGAAAGTAGTCACTTTCGGGCCGCTGGAATGAAAAGTATATTTTCTCCTTTTTTCATTCTTTGACTTGAATTTCATTCTTTTTCAGCCTCAGCATTAAGGAAAAAAAAGGGTCCTTCTTTCGGCGTGCGTAAGCCTCAGCCCCCGCGTAAGCGTCCAAACGGACGTAAACCTCAACCCCCGCGTAAGCCTTCAACCAGACGTAAACCTGTAGGGCCGCATAAGCCTACAGGGGTACATAAATCTTCAACTAAGCGTAAACCTGTAGGGCCGCATAAGCCTACAGGGGTGCATAAATCTTCAACTAAGCGTAGACCTTCAACTAAACGTAAGCCTCCAGTCGAGCATCATTCAGGAGATAACCAAAGCTGGCTAAGTCATGTGTCAGATATAACTCATGACTTAGCACAGTCAGCTCCGGAATTGTCTGATATAGTTAGGGATATTACTGGAACTATCAACGGTACACCTATATCTAAATCTGTATCCACAACTACAGAGTCGTCTTATGTCGATAATGAAGATGAAAATGGAGATGATGATGATCCAACTACAAATGGAGATGAAGATGATCCAACTAAAAATGGAGGTGAAGATGATCCAACTGAAAATCAAGATGAAGATGATCCAACTGTAAATCAAGATGAAGATGATCCAACTGAAAATCAAGATGAAGATGATCCAACTGAAAATAAAGATGAAGTAAAACACGATAATGATGCTGAAGAGTGGAGTAAATGAATTCGTATTATCAACTATATTATTAATAGAGAAATCTTTACTCTCAGGGGTAAATTAAATCTTGAATTTTCAAATTAAATGTCAAATAAAACTGAATTTAAATGCAAATCTTTTTTATATGTATTATTTTATGTCGTCGTTAACCCGTTAACGCCGAGCCGGACAGAATTTTTTTCTCTATTGTAGTCTGCAATTAAATCACCTTATCAGAGCGAGAAAAATTTTTGAGTACTCATTATCTATGTAAAATTTAATGTACTTTTTGAATATGGGTTTATAATTAACCTCTGATAAATATGAAAAAAGTTATAAACAATTTACTGCGAAAAAACACGATTTTGAATCTTGAAAAAAAACTTTGATTCAAATTTTTTTTTATGAAAGAGACTTGAACTATGGCCAATGATACCTAAAATTGTGAAATAATGATCTACAGTTTAAAGTACTGTAGGTGGGATTCGAATATTCAATAACTTTTTTTTCTAATGTTGATCGTTTTCGAACAAAAAAGTACATTTTTTGGAACATTTTTTGGTAAATTTCTTGCGAAAAGTGTATTTTTTGGAGTCTACCATTTTGAATATTCAAATCCCACCCACAGTACTTTAAACTGTTGATCATTATTCCACAATTTTAGATATTATTGGCCACAGTTCAAGTCTCTTTCATAAAAAAAATTTAAATCAAAGTTTTTTTCAAGATTCAAAATCGTGTTTTTTTGCAGTAATTGTTTATAACTGTTTTAATGTTTATCAGAGGTTAATTATAAACGCATATTCAAAAAGTACATTAAATTTTACATAAAAAATGAGTACTCAAAAATTTTTCTCGCTCCGATAAGATGATTTAATTGTAGACTACAATAGAGAAAAAAATTCTGTCCATCTCGGCGTTAACGAGTTAATCGAGTCACCCACACTAAAATTCTGCTACATTTGGCTCATGGCAAGTAAGTCGCTATCACACAATACCATGAAAATTATTGCTAATTTCAAAAATCTGATGACACCTCGCGACTGCAAGAAAGAATCGCTCGCATCAATTTCTCAAATCCCAATTTCCCCTCTCTCTCTCTCAATCGTCGTGAACTCGAAGAAAAAAGCTCGTTGCGACTCGTTGAAAAAAAAAAAAAAGAAACGAACAAAAAATAAACCAAACGTAATAATTCAAGTTCTGCCTCGGGGCTCATTAGAAGCTTTTTTTTCGTTCGAACTACGTTAATTCCTCGCTGGCAAAAGCTGTCGCTACTACTTATCGCAAGCTACACAAGCATACATTACGTATGGCTGCGCGCATGGCAATCTCGGATCTAAACAACGTCTCAAGAATATCAGTGTACATAGCTATATATATATGTATCTCGGCGCTAAGTCGATCGACTGCAGGTATTATATACATATATACGTACGGAGTCGGGTTTTGCGCGCGCGCGAGGCAAGTAAAACCCGTAAATCATCCGCAAACTATAAACGACAAACTCGCTTTCGTCGTTCCTTTTACGAGACACGCAAGTGGTAACGTATCGTGTGCGTATATATATGGTGTAGCTGCAGCAGCAGCAGCTAGTTGTAGGTGTGCAACAAGTATATTATATACAAGCCATACGTATACAACACACCCACGAGATAAGGGAACTCGACTGACGCATTAATAAATTATCAGCTGCTGCAGCTGCACGAGCTTCTCGTTCTCTCTCTCTCTCTCTGTCTTTCTCCTTTTTTTTTTTTTTAACTTTTTGCTTCCATACATAATATGCAGTCCCTCGCGCGCGCTCGGCGATTATTACACGACGGTAGCCACTTATGTGCGATGTTCACCGGTGTACACCACTGCTTGGAATCGCGCGCGCGACACGCTGATATCTCTATTGTGATGCTTATGGCATGGCGCAGCAGCAGTAGCAGCGGAGCAGTGACAGCTCCGGTATATCGCGCACGTCGCGAAATTTTAATTAATGATCCTTAGGACCGGAGGTGATGTCGTTTCACTTGCCTGGCATTTAAATACGGTAGTAGACTATGAGGCGACACGTGTTTATATTTTGCACGCGGTGAGACAGAGAGAGAGAGATGGCCACGCTCGAGATATACTCGCGCAAGCTCTCGAGTGCCTCGGCCTTCTTTTTTGCTCTTATAAATCGTTACAGTACTTAGATCTATTAAATGACATGTTAATGCTCGCGAGCGAGTATTATACATACGCGTCTGTGTAGGTGAGACAAGAGATCATCGTACATTCCTGTGGCGCCAGTATGCCTCATTTTATATATTTATACTTATCGGACGTTTTTATCCATATTTCTGTTTTTCGAGCGAGTTTATAAGTCGCCCGTCGCCGACTCTCGACGAGATACGCATTAGAGCCGAGCGGCAATGCCAAGAATGCGTACGTTATGCGCGATTTTGATTTATGTTGCGTACACGAGTGAATCGAGCGATTAATCGAGGGAATCGCAAAAAAAAAAAAAAAAAATTTGCACCCGAGCGCATTTTCGGCTCGCTGTGCTTACACATATAGACGTCAGATACTTAAAGCCCGTGATGCGCATCGATTCATCATTGCATTTGAATATATTTCCAGTGAGGTGCAAAATCCATAATCATACTGAAGCCTGAGACATTCTTTATATTACATAAACTCCACCTTTCAGGACACTAAAAACGAGTGCAAACTGTGCGATCGTGTTACAATCAGGCCGTTAGTTTTTTAAGAGAAATAATATAGAATATAAGAGATGTATTTTGTAAAATTATCAATACGTCTGACACCTTACGGCTCCAATGACTAATATAACATAATTTCTAATAATAATGTAGGTAATACCATAATGCACTATCGGTGTGAGTTCACTTAACTGTAAATGTTTCTCCGCTTCAATTTTACAATGTGTAAGCAAATTATGCGCCCGAATGAATGCAACTTTTATTACAATTTTTTTTCAGTTTTAATGTCATGCGAATCCCTCTAGCGTACGACCGGTCGATATTAGAGGGGGAAAGTATCGGCGAGGAGCTATATTCACAGTCGCGGGATAACCTCGCTTATTTACAAATATAGTGAGTCAGTCGCTGACGAGGAGAGCTAAATTTCTGCATTAAGCGAGTGTTTACAAGTTGGTGAAATCTAGTTGCACATAACCTCGAATATTTTTTCAGTTTGTATCGTGCGAATTCACAGTGAATACTCAAAATCAAGTGAGTGATGGGTAGCAGAGTAGATACAATTAGGTATAACATTTTATGTTTGTTCAATGATGCTTTTTCAAATGATCGCTTCATTAAATTTGATCATTCCTTAGTGTTAAGGAAGAGCCGAAAGATTCTTGGCCAGCTGCCAGCGACGATTTGTGTGACCCTCCATTCGATTTTGTAGACTATTGCGACATCAAAAACATTGAAACTCTTCAGTTTCATAAATCATCAGTGAGTTCAATGATTCAAATTATATTCTGTATTTTCGATATCAAAAAGTTATAAAAAATTTTAATTTCAGACAAGTCACATAAATGAGACTGTAGCGTTACAGGAAAAGATAGATGAAAAAATATTCGTCGATTTTGAGTGTGAAAATGTTAAACTTGAACCTAAGTCTCCATCGGCCACCATTTGCAAAACTGAATATCAGAATAATCCACCTATCGTGAAAGTAGAAGATCAAATTCAGACCAATTACTCTAATGAATGTGAGGAGAAAAAAATATTTAGAAAAAAACCTCAAACCAAATTATCTTATGAGTGCAAAATGTGTCAAAAATTTTACACAGTCAAGTCGAGTTTAAATGCACGTATCAACTCGGCACATAAGGGCATTGAATATAAATGTGAAATTTTCCCCAAGTCGTTTGCATACAAAGCTAGTCTCAAAACTCACATAAATACATTACATAATGAGAACGAACTCTTTGAATGTGACATTTGTCACGAATCATTTGGAAAAGAATCACATCTCAAAACTCACATAAATTCAGTACATAATCGTATCAAATCCTTTGAGTGCGACATTTGTTACAAATCATTTGGACTAAAAGAAAGACTTAAAACTCATATAATTACAGTACATGATCGTAGCCAACCCTTCGAATGTGAAATTTGTCACAAATCATTTGGACTCAACTCTAACCTTCAGCGTCACATTAAAGCAGTACATGATCGAAGCAAACCCTTCGAATGTGAAATTTGTCACAAATCATTTGGGCTAAAACCAAACCTTAAACGACACGTGATCGAAGTACATGATCGTAGCAAACCCTTTGAATGTGAGATTTGTTTTAAATTATTTGGAGAAAAAGGTAAACTCAAAAGGCACATTATGACACTTCATTATCGTAGCAAACCTTTTAACTGTGAGATTTGTCACAGGTCATTTGGAGAAAAAGGTACCCTCAAAAATCATATAAACAGTGTACATAATCAGAAAAAACCCTTTGAATGTGATATTTGTCAGAAAGCATTTGGGCGAAAAAGTCACCTCAAAATTCACATAAATTCAGTACATTATCGTAACCTCAGAACTCACATTCATGTAGTACATAATCGAAGCAAACCCTAGGAGAGTGAGATTTGTTCATAGACATTCGGATATAATGAAGTTTTATACAATTATATGAGTGCACAATGTAGTTTTTGAAAATGTTTCACCTGAAAATACTTCAATTTTGTGCAGAACAATAAAATATATCAATCCGTTATTCACTGTTATTCATTTTTGTATGAGTGTTGTCGTATGTAAACTCAAATTTTAATTCCTTCTCGAATGTATTGCTGTTGAACCGATTTTTCAAAGTTCCAATGATTAATTGAACCTTTTCCGAAGTACTTATTTACTATCGGTATCCTTGTAGAAAATCCTTGTCATTTTTAATCTTTTACGTCGATTCCTCCAATTCATCATTGTACAACGCGTTTACACGATCAGGCCGTCACTTAAAAAAAAAAAAAAAAAAAGATGAACGTATCGAACTGCGCGACGCACACGGTAGGCCGTCGCACGCGTGTACGCAAATGATATCTGCGAGCAAATACACGTCCACTTTAAAATGATACTCATATAGGCCGATCTATGCGTACGCCGTATGAAATTCACGGCCGCTCGAATATAAACATCCTGGGCAAAAGTTGGAGTCTCGAAGCACACGTATGCTCGATTGCACGTATTATAACGGTATGCGCCTAGGCTCGCGTATCTATCTTCGGTCCTGCACAATCCTTGAATTAATTATACACATATGTATGCGCGTCTGTGTGTGCGTCTACGCGTACAATTACGAGTCGCAGCTCCTGTGTATGCGCGAAGCAATACGATCGGACGGTAGAAGAGAGGAAGAAGGTATAAAAAAAAAGAGAAGAAAAAAGAGGTTGATTCTAATCCCCGCGGAGATATGTAAAAAGACCAACGAGTCGCCCGTGTGCCGTGTGTGTGTGTATGCGTGTGTTGAGGGAGTTTCGGTATAATTACGTATGTACATACGTACGTATACGACGCGGAATTCGACGCGCGGAAAACGCCAAGTTTTATTGGAATGCTAATTATTTCGAGTACCTTGTTTTTTTCTCTCTCTCAGCGCTCGCCTCTTATATAGCTCGACTCGGCTTTTCGTACCCGGCTCGAGTGCAGCTACAGCCAACGCCGTTCGCGTGCGTACGATATTAGATTTGCTCTAATTTAATTATGTAGTCATAAAACGTATACGGCGTACCTGTGCGCGTGTGTGCGTGCGCTCGATTTATTTTGGTGTAAACATTTTGTTTAATAAATTCATTATTAATCATTGGGCTGGAATATTATGAATTCATGAATAATTATGAGAGATTATGATTCAGGATACCTCTTGCGGCTTTATCTTGAATTTTAATTCGATTATACGGCCGTATGCGCTCGCGTGTTTTATGCGGCGGCGCGGCGTGGGCATGTCTTCCAATTTTTTGCCAACGTGATTAAAAAACCATCAAAAAGTACACACGGACACACATCCGTCTCCCTCTTGACACAATAACGAGCCCATATAGTTCAACTTCTCCCTTCGACAAAAAAAAAAACCAAAAAAAGAATATATACACAAAAACACACCGACTTTCGCGTGAATCCACACATTTCGCCCTAATTACGCCTGATGACTCGGAACAACGAGCTATAATAATATCATAAACGAGAGAGTCGAGGTGTAGTTTTAAAAAAAAGGTAAAAAACGAAGCGCCCACGCATCTGCCCGACGACGACGACGACGAAGTAGACGAGAGCTCGCGTGCCATCTTTCACCTATTATGCAGCTCGCACCGATCGCTTTTATAAGAAGATAAATATAGCCGAGTGGTCGAGCAGAGACAAAGGTGTGTGTGCGTGCGTGCGGTAGTGCAAGTGTGGCGATCGCCACTACTACATATAATACGCGTTTGGAGCGCACAGGCGGACTATTATAAGACAACCGCAAACCTGTCAACGGCGAGCGGCCGAGCGACTCGTTGCGTCGAGCACGTCTTTTTCGACTGTATTATAAGAAGTAGAAGCAGACGATCGCTAAAAAGAAATCGCGCGCGAGAGGGAGAGAGATGCGAGGGTGTTGGTTGCCTTCTTCTTCTTCTTTTCTTTCTTACTTAAGCTATTTCCGGTTGGCTTAAGAGACGCTTCGGGGCGAGACGACGGAGAGCGAGATCGCGTTACACACCTGTCGACTTAGCAGTGCTCTCTCTCTCTCTCTCTGCGAGCTAGCTGCGGACGAAATAGTTCGAGCCGTGCGTATACGTGATGGACAGTTCGTTGGTTTTTGAGAGCAAGCTCTTGTAAAAGGGAAAAATTAAGAGAGCTGGATTGCCTTTTTTGTCGTCCTTATAACATAGGAATGAATTATTTTACGATTAAATTTGCTTCATAAACGTTTGTACGCACGCGATGGACGCGCGCGGGGCCAGACATCGATCGTTATCGCATCACGATCTTTCGTTACGAGCTTGCCTCGGTAAACACACGCGGCGAGTACAATACCGCGATTGTTCGGACTAATGACTGCCACACGCGCACCAACGATCTTTATCGGAGATATCGTCGAGCTTCGGTCGAGTTGGCCTGGTGCAAATGCACTTTCACGTAGGTATATACGCGTAATGTAATTCTCGGCCGGCGAGGGCTGATTACGCGTTTTTGAAGGGAGTTTGTATGTTTCGAAAAGCGCGAAAGATCTCGACGCGATCGGGGCTCGAGTGCGAATGAAAGCCAGGCCTGTTGCGTCCCTCGAACGCGTCGTCATGCATAGCGAGCGCTTCGTGTTCCTGATCGCTTCCTCGGAGGCCCGCACCGCAGCAGCCGAGAGAACCGAGTGCGCAACGGGCCGCCGCCGCCGCCACCGATCTTTCTCTGAAAATCTGAAAACTCCGTGTGAGGTCTCCCTCGTACCGCGTGTCTCTCTCTCTCTCTCTCTCTCTCTCTTTCTCACTCGCTCGTTCACTCACTCACTCACTCACTCTCTCTCTCTCTCTTTCTCTCTGGTACAGCTGACACTGTGCTCGCGCGATGATCGCGTTTTGATTGGATTGCAAGTGGCCACTGCAGCGGCAGGCGATTCTTTGCACGCCAGGCGCTGGTGCAAATGAGCTCTATATATACTGCTGGTGCAGCTGGTGCTGCTGCGGGTCCAGGAAACGCGCACTGGTTCAGGTTTGATAATTACGCTCGCTCGTGCGTTCGGGAAAATTTTGCGAATTCCGCGATTAAATTTACGAAGTAGCTACGAGAGTCGTCGAGATCTGCGAAGCAGCTAGTGCACACATAGCTTTGCATTGTTTTATCGGGCCTCGATCTTGCGCACGCGTATATCGCCGCGCACAATTTTATAACTGTAAAGCTTGCGTGTGTCGAGCACACACACACACACACACACACAAACACATACCGATGCTACAGCAGCAAAAGCGAAATATTTCTATTTTCGCGCGAATAACTCGCGCGCGAGCCGTGTAGCTGTGTAGCGCGTGCGTACACGAGGCGCGAGAGAAATAAATAATTCCGCGAACGATTTATCTCGATTAGAGTCTCGCATCCGTCGTAAGAAACGTATACGATACCTTGGAGCTCGCGCGCGCGTGTGCGGTACAAACATAAGTATATTGCACATTTAATACGATGCTCTCCCGTATATATACTCCCGCAAGTGTCGTGTCACTCGTAGCGTAGTACGTATAGCAGCAGCAGCAGCAGCCTCTCTGATGTATACAAACACTATTCGAACGCGGCACGAACTCGCCACGTACGGGATCGCCTATGGCCAAACGAGTGTTGTGCATTATATATATACCTCGCGTTTCATAAATGAGTTATTAAAGCTCTCTCTCTCTGCCCCTCGCGCGAGTGGAGAAATGCACGCGCGTATGGTATCTATCGCGTGCGACTGCACGCGTCGCGGAAAAGCTGCGGACACGCCGCGAGTACGAGGTATACACACTGCGCATACCGTTGCTGCTGCTGCTGCGGATGAAGACGTGCTGCTGCGTGCCCGCTGAACGCGATGAACGATTGCACTTCCGGCCCGCGTGGCTCGAGCGACGACACGTATGCCCGCGCGCGAATATATATCGTCCGCCGCCGCCGCTGCCGCGGCTATAAGGCAATTACTCATATAGAGAGCGAGCAGCAGCCCCCGCGCGAGCTGTGTATATATACACGCGCCGACGAGGTAACAAATTGCGGGCCGTATAGCTCGCGAGTACAGTGGTATTTCACTTTGCTGGAGCAGCTCGGAGTAACTGAGACTTGATACTTGATAACGCACGTGCGCGAGTCCTGAAATTTTCCACGCTACGCAAGCTCTGAATTTTGTGAATATCGTCCGCAGGTGGACTTTGACCGACGACTTTTCTTGACAAATGCGGCTTTTATACTGCGTCGGCTCGAATCAGGCGGATGCTCGACCGGCCGTTGCTTTTAATTAAACTCTCGAATATCATTTAGCGAGCTTCGGCGTGCAAGCTCTGCAAGCACACACACACACACTTTTACGTACGTTATACCACGATCCGTTGCAACGCTAAAGCTCTAAAGTTCTATTGAAATATTTTAATGGTCATTATAATGCCTGAAACAGTGTCGTATACGATGTAGTATATCGTACACGCGTTCGGATGGATTTCGACGGTGCACGGCGCACAGAGCGGTGCTCGCAGTCGCACATGCGCCCATATCTACAAGTATATGCTTTACATCGTACGTATGCCCGCTGATCCCCCATGGAAGCGAGCCGTAAATTTAGCGACGGAGAGAGAGAGAGCTTTTGCGGCATGCACACCGCGCGCCGAGCGTCATGCACGCTTCGACTAGTTCGCATTGGGCGTAATACGGCGCGCGCGGGGCCACGAAGCTGTGTGTGTGAGCGGTATAAGCGCCCCGCGACTCGTACAGTGTATGCGAGAGAGAAGAGAGCTCATTGACACGGTCACGCTCGTGCACTTTTGCCGCTCGACTCGAGATTTAGATTTTCATTGCGTGGCGCGAACTTTTACGCCGCAGACGCCACGAACTATATACGCGCCGATGCGTGGGCCGATATATAGACGTATGACAGCGGGTGGCTCTGTGTGTGTGTGTATAAGCTGCAAAGTCTTAATAGTGCTC